CCCCAAAACCCCAAAACCCCAAAACCCCGCAGAATATGATAATTAAAAATTTAAACATAATGAAAAAATAAATTCACACAGATATATAAATAATTATATTTCTTTAAAAATGCAAACTGTATAATCATAAGTCGATGTGACTAAATTCAAGTGCTATCGATTTTAAGCTGATGGATCAATATATTATGGTGAGATAATGTACCTCAACACTAAAACTGGTGGTCTGGTAATTTTCCAGTCGATATAAAGGTTATTAATATTAGGTAAGCAGCATTGATGGTGTGGATGAAGATACCAAGAAACTTCATAAGTTGGTTAGACATGGTTATGGACTCTAGATCTTTAATGGCTAAAGAAATGCAGATGGAGTTTTGACAAAATACGAGGGAAGATGGGACAGAGATAGAAAATAAGGAGAAAACTGCACTGCTGTGTTCAAGGACGGCTCAATCTATACAGGCAGTTTCAAAAAGGATAATTTTGAAGGTTAAGGGAAGTTTGAATGGGCACTAGGTCACATTTACGAGGGCCAGTGGAAAGAGTCGCAAATGGAAGGTTAGGGTGAGTTTAAGCATGCTAACGGCAGAGTTCATCATGGTCTATTTAGAAGAAACTACTTTTTATAAGGTAATTATCAATTAATTTGATTAATCATATCTCTAGATAAATGCTTCATTAATCCTCTTGATGATGATAAAAGACAGAAAAAGAATATCAAGGTGTTTGAAGAGCAAGTCTTAGCTTAAAAGGAGAAGATTATCTATGATAAGAGAATAAGACTGTATCACGTTTCCTCATAAGACTAACTTGAAGAAGCCATTAGGGATACAAAGCAAATGAACAGAGTGCCTCTATTCGTGAGAACCCCTAAGTGCAATCTTGAGGTACAATTTTTTGTTAGTAATAAACCTATTAGAAAAATGGAGTAGCAGATAGAGTTGTAAACATCTTGCATTTGCCAGCAGAAGATTCATTGTGTGAAATAAATCTAAGGAAGATATTCAGTGAAACTATTGGCAACCCCATCAAAAAAACAGAGCAAAGAGAAAAATTAAACCTTCAAATTAGAAAGGCCATTTAAAAGAGCCAGCTAATACTACTCAATTTCGATGATTATGAGTATCCAGATTCAGTTGTAGAGTCTTAGGATTAGCTGATAACAAATAAGGACCAAGAAACGCAACATCAACAAGTTTTCGCAGTGGGCTATGATCCAAACTTCAAAGAGTTCTCTGGTACTAAAGGCGGACTGCCAATTCAAATTTGGAATCAAATTGAGATTTCGAAAAGAAGAGAACTTATGGAGTGCATTGGATTAATATCCTAAGAAGATGACATTATTCCAGACTTCACTGACAATATACACTTTGTAGTATGGTCCAATCTCAAACTTAAATCTAAGTTAGCCTAAAAGTAAATCTTAGATCAAATTGTTGCTCTTCAGCAGGATGATATGACTAAAGATGTCACTGCTTAAACCATCTAAGAAGCCTACTAGTTTGATGAAAACTAATTCAATGATACAGAAATTTTAGAAAAGATTGAGAAGAGATTCGGGAAAGCATTACCTCTCGAATGCATTAACCTTATCTTGTTAAAGGATATATATTGATTCATACAAACTTATTTAAGATTAATTCATTAAAGAAGAATATCAGTAATTTATTTATTGCTAATTTCAGGTATTGGGGTTTTGGGGTTTTGGGGAGATCGGAAGAGCGTCGTGTAGG